GTAAACAGATATGTAGTTACTGATAATTGGAGAATCTTTACAATATTCATAAATGAATTTATTAGAGAAATAATCGGGGATAAATGTGAGTTTCTGCCTTCTTTTTTTAATTTGTAGAATCTTTCTCTGACACTGATATCAATCCTCGGTAATTTCTGTAAAACTTGTATGTTATATGAAATATCCCAAAGAAAGTTTTGCACAATATAATCGAAAAAAAAATCCCGTTGATGACATTAGAACTCGGAATTGGAAATAAATCAAAACATTAGGTATTTACAAACAGACAACATGGTATCCATATTTGTGTTAGTGTAAATCAAACGTAAATATGATACAAATTTTAGAACTTAATATTTGTGTTCGAGATAGAAAGGGGTAGTAAATACTGAACATGAAGAGCTAATTCTAATGGGGAGAAACAGTTGTGATATAGGTCGAATTGTATTTTAGAATATAAATTAATTTTATATTTCATCAAATGATACGACCAAGGGAAAGTGAATAACCATGGGTGACATATTTTAATACCAGTTTAGGTATAAGATGAAGATAAATGATTGTCATGATTATCAGCAAACGGGAAAGAAACTGTAAACATTATTACAAACGTTTGAAAACAAATTAAACAGGAAAGTGACATTTTGTTTGGGTACGTTTCTTCCGCGTGGGTGATATCAAGGTTTGAGGTTGTCGACATTAGGAAGATGTTAAGAAATTCAGATTCCGTATGCAGTAACACTTATTGATTAGAGACATTACTTTGCTGACAGAATAACATTAAATTTCATTTCTCTGTTTTTATGATGCACGAACTTTATTGAATGTCTCAAATTGGGAATAGATCGCAAAGCTAACACCAGTACAAGTCAATATAGAAATGTCCACCCGTGACATTCTGAGATTCTGATCATTGATATTTTGTGTAAATTGTTTCATAGTAGTTAGATAAAAGTAGTTTTGGAATTTTAATATTTTCATAGTTTTAATTCTTGTAAAAAATAAAAATTCTATTTAGTAACGCTATTCATGAAAATTCGCGGACAAAAGTTGCATCCATAAAGAAGGTTCCTGGAGGGCTCCAGAGATTCCACGGGACTGAAATTCCATCACGACTCCACCATCACAAATTTTAGATCATTGGAATGTAAGCTTCGCATAATCAAATACATTGTAATCCAGAAATTTGTAAAAATTAAAATTAATTTTATTAAAAGGACTTAAGTTGAATAAAGTTTGTGAATAAACGACTTTAGTTGAATAAATTTCGAACAAAGGCATCCTAAAATAATTTAATTAGTTCTAATGACAATGTGGTAAAGAAATGAAATCTGGTATCAAAAGTAATTTATAGTATTTAACGAAAAGAGTGGATGAAAAAAGATATAATGTATGAGTGGTATGCTCCAGAAAACGAACGAGGACAGGAACGAGGTTTTTCAATTACCACGAGTGCAATTATACCCTTTTATACACTTGTTACGTTCAATATTTTTCGTTTACATTTAAGAGTATGTTTTGTTAACAATTAATCTTCAGATATTCAAGTACTTCTTTATCATTAGGTGCATTTGATGAAGTCTTATTGCTTTTGGCAAAGACCTATTTTAGAGGGCCTTGCATTGTGGACTTCTCATTACCCTAGTACCTTAGAGAATAAAGAAATGATTGCAAATGGACAATATTAAAAGTATTCCCGGTGAAATATTAGAAGAATGTGACAAATCCATGAGAGCATTACTTCCCACGAAAATTGAAGGCAGGTATGAGAGAGAATGTATAAATGTTGAAGAATGAGCTAAACGAGTCACTTCTGACTGTCATACTTTACTAGCATACTTTTTAGTATGTCAGAATACTTTGGAGTTTAGCTGGCATACTTTTTAGAACGATTAAATACAACTGACGTTTATATTTTTAACATTTGTGACATGTAAGGTAAAATGTTATACATGTAAAACACACATTTATTCCTGTTAAACATTAGTAAGCTGATGCCAAACCAACGTTTACTTCACCAATTTTGTTTATTCCTTATTTGTTTATATGTTTTTATGCTCATTTCTGTTCATGTTTCATAGCCAACTGGAATTACTTTGGCAAAGTGTGTTTGACTTACTAATTAAAATATTTTGATTCTCTTTGTGAAATCTGATTCGTAGTTGTGGAGTTTTAATTGCAATTTTGTTAAAGTAATTCTTAAAGAGTATCCATTGTATGTAGTATTTTTGGCAAAATTGTTCCAATAATAAGAAAGAAACAAGTGAACCTTATGTATCAAAAGTTGGTGACAAATAAAAAGAACTTTAATGTTTCAATATTTATTTTTATTGAAAAGACAGATTTAGTAATCAAATTAATCCCGCAAACATATAATTTCTGAGAAAATAAATTTTCAGTACGATTTGAGTTTGTATTGAGCGGATCGGCGACTCATGTTAGTATCGCTAAGATAATGTAGTAAGCACATTAGTTGTACAATGACAACAATGAGATATTTATTTACTAGACAGGAAATAATTGAATACCGTGTAATGGATATAATGTGCTAACCACACGTACCCGAATCATGGTCCGCAAGATCTGGTAGGCCTTGGTCCCGTAAGGGGCTGTTGTGCCAGTATAGACTGACAAGCAGAGGAAATAACATTTTAAAATCTTTTCAAAATATTTCATTGACAGATATTAACAAAAAAAATAGTTCAAAAACGTTTCAGTGACGCTGATCGCGTTGCAGACATTGACATAAAAAAACAGTTCAAAAACGTTTCAGTAACGCTGATCGCGTTACAAATTATTTCTACACATAATTCTATTAAATGTAGGAAAAAGAAAGTATTTTCAATTCACAAAGTTGTGGATTATAATTAATTGCCGTTTCTAACATGTGTTTACTCACTAGTGAAGCATACAATATAGACACTGTCTTTAAATTCTCTTTGCATTTTAGGCGTGATTAATTCTTTGATTTTTTTTGTTACTTTCACGCTTAAGGAGTATTACAGAGAAAGTTTTGTTATGCTGCGGCAAAAATGGCGATTTTTCGAAGAAAATACCTTTATTGCAGAACACATGAACCGGAAACGTTGATAAAACTTATTATAATATATAGTAAAGTACTTCCTATAAAATATAACATAATCAGTACCCAGGTTTTGAGTCCCGACAGTGACAACATTTTCGACTCTAGCTACATAGTTGGGTCGAAATCATCCCCTGTTTGAAGGAGAATACTAGCAGCCGGCTGCTCTGATCAATAGATTTCCATGGTTTCTTCAATTTGCATCTGGCGAACGCCGGAGCAGTACCCTAAAAACGGGCCACGAACCGCGCGAAAACGTGTCCTTTTCTCGTCCCTTGTTTACCACCGTAGGGGGGAATCGCGCTTCGTAGGTGGGCGCCATTTCTGGCGGAGAGATGCAAATGACCACCCGGACACTGAGTGTCACGGCGACACTCACGTCGATAGCTTCAAGGTGGAGGAAGTGAGCAGGCCATGTTAAGCTCCGTGTTCCCGGACCTCGTCCTGTAACCCTATAGTGTCCCTGGCACGTCGATCTTTGAGCGGGATCGGGCTAAGGATGTTCTTTGGAATGTTCCTGATCCCACATATGAAAGTACAGACGGAGAAGATGAACCTACCTGCCAGGTTGTCCAGGTTCTGGCGACACTCACGTCGATAGCTTTAAGGTGGGGGCAGAAGAGCAATTCGGTGAAGGAGGCTCCAGCCGCCCGCCACCTATTAGGTGATAGCGAGCTCCCTGTTGCGGGTCTTGCGCTTGTCGTCGGTCCCGAGCTAGAAACTCTGGGCAAAGGAGGAGGGACTTGTCTGGGCCCATGTGGAGTAACGGCATTTTGCTCCGTGAGCTCGCCTGGAAAGTCTACAGCTGCCAGAGCGGCTCGCCTAGGACAACAAATGGGAATGTTGCCGCGAAAATTAACTCCGATCGGCAGGTTCAGGATTCCAGCCTGTCGATGTCGGCGAGGGGTGCGGATTATGACCATACGGCCTAGATGCCCACCACAGGGTGAGCGCCTCCTGGTAGGACAAGGAATTGTGTGGTGTGATAGACCACAGGGTCTACACCTCTTACTTACTCTTGCTCACACATGTACTACACTACCACACATGCCCGGAAACCAATCGGAAGTTCAAAGCTTATCCCGGCTGGTACGATGCAATAGAGTGGGAGCTCCAAAAGAATATTCAGGAATGTAATAGGAATTTCGAACATCTCATTTGCACAGTAAATTTCTGCGAAAAAATTTCGCCATGATTTCCCCTCCTCTCCCTCAAAATTTCTTCCCTTTTCGTTATCATTTCCTGGTCTCTCTCTCTCTCTTAACATTTCCCCATCTGTACCTAATTGGTACTCACTGGTTCCCTCAAAACTTGAATCGGAACTCACCTGTCCCCCCACCCAAAAAAAGAGTGGAACTAAGTGGTTCCTTAGGGACCACAAAACCTGGTTTTAAGAGCCTAGGAAGCATCGTTTCCAAGATATTCACTCCAATCATGTGTGTTGCAGAAATGTGTTTTTATTATGCCATAATCCACAAACGTTTGGTTGCAGCAATTGTTTCCTCTTGAAAGTGTTGAATGCAAGCCTGGAGAGTAATTCTATGGGCAGCAGTAGCATACTCAAAGGGTTTTGTGTCGTTGGTTTCTTATATATTCTCAAAAACAGTCGTAGCTTAATCGTAATTGTAAGCGTAGTCGTAATCCTTAGCGCATTTTATGTACAAACTATTTTTTTCTTATTCAATCAAATTTTTAAAAAATTACTTCTTTTCACTTGTGGCTGACTTTCACAGGTGATATACTGTCTTCAATTTCCAACCAACGTGTTCTATTTTATTGACGACATAGGGTAAAAATTTCATTAACTACTTCATGTAGAACAAGATTTGAGACTGAAAAATAAGTAAAACACATTGGTTACTCTTTATTTTAAAATCCGCAAACGCAGCAGGGGGGTATGTGTTGGTGTCTGTTGCAGAGCTTCCAGAAGGGCGGGCAGGAGCAGAAGTGCTGCTGGGTGTGCGTGCCGTGCGACCGCAACTGGATCCTCGTGGACGACGAGACGTGCGAGGAGTGCGAGAAGGGCACGTGGCCCAACGAGAACCAGACGGGTGAGCAGCACGCAACGGAAGCGGCGGGTCTTCCATCATTCCGCCACACCAAGTAGCCCCCGATTGTTATAGTAGAGAGCGCAACGCTCCGCTTCGGTAGAAACAAAAGCACTTCTCAAGCAGACTTCTGAACCGAATGTCGCCTTAGTTGGTCAGACTCCCCCGTCTTTCAGGAACGATGATGTTACAGAGAAAGTGTATCCACATCAAACTAATGTTCTGATGACTGCCGAATTTAGGACTAATGTAGAATTGGTATTTGTGTCTATTCAAAAATTTTGATTTCAATTTATTACTTCCTAGCTTCATCCGTTGTATACTCTACCTTGTCTCTACTCGGTATGCATTTTTTTTATCAAGGCAACAAACCTTAAATGACAGTTCGTTATAATGCATACTATTCGCTCTTGTAGTCATAATCCTGGCCTTCAGTCTTCGAGCCCTGTTAATTGGAGCGAGTGTTGCCCAAACTATGGTGATGAGTGATTGAAGCGCGCACTCCTAATTGCCCCTCCCCCTTCCCGGGGATTCCCCAGGGCGGCCGCATCCCCTCAAAGGTAATCGCTCGGTCGCCCCGTCGTTCACCCCTGCGTACACCACCCAGCGCTGACCCTTGACCTATTGAACTCACCCAGGACTCGCAAAGGAATTCCCGCGGGGTGGCGGAAATCTCCTGGAACATTCGTCATTCTCTGAAGAACGTTTTAAAACACAAAGATAATTATTAGGAAATTATTAATACTAAGAGTTGTAATGCCATCTAATATTAAGTACAATTTATTTGTTACGCTAGTAATTTATTTCATGTTTCATTCGTAAAATGTTATGTAAAGGGTATAGCCGAATAAGGCAATGAAAAGTGCCCCCAAACCAAATCAATAATCGCGATTATTATTTGAAAGAAAGTAAAAAATGCAATAGATTCCCAAAATTCAGCCTCCTAGGGCAATCTGCTGCGAAGATACGAGAAAGGTGTATTTTGTGTTTAATTTTTCCTTAGCTTCTATTCCAGAAAAAAAATTACAGAAACAAGGAAAAATAGTTAAATTTGAAAGTACTTTTGTTAACCAAGTTTGGCGCCTAATTCACATTGAAAAAATGTTGTACTTTTTAAATTGATTTTTGACATGATAACGTTGGAGTGCTGTCTCAGTATTCCCCTAGAATGTGTCTTAAAACATTCAATAACAAATATTTTTCAGGTTTTTAAACAATGTGGACGATAGCGCAAGAAAATTAAAACTATTTTAAACAGTTTAAAAATGTAAAATTCGCGCCAAAAATAGAAACAAACGTTTTTACCTATATTTAAAGTCAATATTAGAATCAACTATATTCAAACGTGACATATGTCCTCGAAATCTTATAGGTGTCTGATAGATTACGTTTCAAACTCAATCACAATATCCGTGGTAGAAAGAGATGGGTGGGCCCTTGCGCATCCGACTTCAGCCAATGAGCTTCAGACACCAGTTTGTGTTATAATATTAACCGGAATTTTAAATGTCAAAATTATTATAGTTACAAGTCATTGAAACAGAAACAAATAAGTACTTTTTTACATATTGCATCTTTTGTTTGTATTACACCATCATCATGTTATTTTTGATTGTTCACCGTTGAAAATTGTCTCTCTATGCAACTTAAAAAATGCTTCACAACATTTCTTGCTCTTCACGCAACATAGCGGCCATCGACTGGTCTCGTTTTTCAAACGAAGTGCTCGTGTTGTGGTTATGTGGTTCGTGACGCAAACTGGTGCAGACAACTGGTGTTGGCGTGGTTCGTGACGCAAAACGAGCAACATCGATGCGCTGGAGGAGCCCACCCATCTCTTCCCACCATGGGAATATCGGGAGAGAAACGATATTTTTGTGAACGTGCGAGCGGAAATGGCATCCCGGAATGCTGCTCCTATATAAATGCGATCATTTATTATTTGGCACACCCTCGTTACTTTGCGAAAATTCTTAAACCCTCAGAAACTTTGTGTAGACTGCTTATAAACGAACGTGTGATCCCAGTTATTGAAGACGGAGGCAATCATTAATTGTCTATGATGATTACCTCAATGTCAATGATTATTAAATCTACTACTGACTAATGTTATTTATATAAACATGAACGATTAATATACCTAAAACCCAGTAATTTGATTTATATTAGAAACAATACATAAATCTAAAAACAAAAAGGATTTGATGATTTTATTTCTATAATATAAATTCTTTCCACTTAAAAACAAACATCAGTCAGAAAAAAGTTTTAAATCGCGCGAGTGAGACCTTTCAATAATTTAATTAGAAATTGTATAAACATTGGCAATTTTTTTCAATTGACATTTTAGCGCGAGTTTGAAAGTTTTTAGCTGATTGGTTTTTAATTATTTTTACTATAATCCACATTATTTAAAAATCTGAAAAAAATATGTTATAGAATATAATAAAAAATATTCTAGAGAAAGAACTGACACAGTACATCATTTTCACGTCGAAAATTATTTTTCTATTATAATTTGGCTATAATTAAAAATGTAAACAAAAATACCTTCAAATTTAAGTATCTTTTCCTGTAATTTTTTCAGCTTCATACATGTAATAAAAGATGAGAAAAGAATTAAACACGAAAAATACCTTTCTGATTGTATCTTGGCAACAACCTTAGGAGGCTGATTTTTTGGGAATTTATGGCATTTATTATTCTTTTATATGAGCAGCGCGATTATTGATTTGATTTGGGAGCACTTTTCACCGCCTTATTTGGCTAAATCCTTTATATTTTCATTTAATATGTCGAGTGATTGAATCCAGATGGATTATACTGATTCAGTGAAAGGCAGAAGATCAATGTGTACTGATTCAGTGAAAGGCAAAGATCGTATTCTTCTTTTAGGCTCGTGATTTAAGCTCCAGCTCGTGTTTTAAAGCGTACTATGTGAAGATAAATATTCATAACACATTGAACAAATATTAAAATGTTTGTTAACCTTTTGTATAGTAACGTTTCTTTAGCACTATTTATTTTCACTCACAAATAATACACATGTTTAGTGTATCATGTGTAAATGCTATACCACTGTTCATTTCTAATTATTTGTGTAGGAAGAATCATACTCTAAAATGTGTGTAATTTGTAGACTTAGCACGGACCAATGGCGCATCGCACCTCAAAGTCTGTCCAATTGGAAGCGTTCCGAATCCAGTCACACGGGCGTTGCTGTAATTGCTTTCGAGCTCCCCCGGGAGACGCTTCGCGGGTCGCCACCTTCACAAGGCCGATCTCGTCCTCTCCGGGGGAACTCGCCACACTCAAAGCGATCGAAATCGAATTTGGCCTTTCTCCTTGATCATCGACTGTACGCGATCGCTTCTAGGTCCCTTAGGAAATGATCACGGTTGTGCACACGTTCCATCACTTGAGAAACTATTTTGTTAGAATTATTTAAGTTTATATTATATATATGGGCATACGTAACGCTTCATTTAGATTATAGACAGCTAAACGTAATTGATGTATTCATACATTTTAGATTTCTATAATCTAAATTAAGCATTATGTAAGAAGAAATTATTTTCAAGTGCACTCGCGTCGATGGAAATTTTGCGTTTGTTGAATATCCTTTCCATAATCACAATCTTGAATTATTATGAATATTTTTGTGTGAAGAAATCTAATTATTAATTGTGCGGCGGGAGAGATGAATGGAACATTTGCAGGTGGTGACGGTCGATGTTTCATTGTTATTAATGTTTAGTTTTAGTGATTTAATTGTAACAATGGCTTGTAACCGCCATTCATAAATGAATGGTTCCATTCCTAATCGAACGAAAATCCAGGAAATCTTCCGACATTCCCAAAATCTATATGCGATATTATATAATCAGCAAAAAAGTAATGCTGTCTACAGCATTACAGTACGACTTGTAATCGATTTTGCGATAAGTCGTAGTTTTTAGAGAATTTTTCAGTCAAACCATAAATGAAATGTCCATTTAAATGAATGGAATACAAAATAAAGTTCATTATACTACGATTTCTGAATTCTTTCAAATTCAGTCAGCCTTCATACTGCTCGTTGTGAATATTTCGCAAATGTTCATTCCCGTCTGAGATAAGGCATAATATTCCGGGGAAATTATTCTTATAGCTCCCAGACTTATAGATTTCAAAAAGGAATTATACAAATAATAAGCAAATCGCACTCACGTGATTCTTATAAGCCTCTCTTTATTTATATATGTATTTTACCATTACCTTGTTTCTTGATTTACGAATCAGTGGCTTTTGTCAAAAATGACTTACTTAAAGAGGGAATATATTTTGGGCAAACGCCAACGTCTATAATTGTAACACTCGACGAAGTAATTATATTCATCAGGTGACAGTATCAACAGATCACTACAAAAAAATCACCCTCCTGTGGGCTTGCACAGAGCCAGGAGATCCCGTCCGAGAGTTCATGCGCAGATTGTACTTCTCCCTATTCAGTTTTTGCTGTTACTTGACGAAACAAGTCAAACGAAACGGCCATTGAGTCTCCTGTGGGCTTGCTGAGTGCCAGGAGATCCCTTGCGAGAGCTCGTGCGCAGATTGTACTTCTCCCCCATTAGTGATATTCAGTTTTTCACTGTTCAGTGTTCACTGAGTGTCCTGTGTGCTTGCAGAGTGCGAGGAGATCCCGGTGGAGTTCGTGCGCTGGTCGGACACGCAGGCGATCGTGGCGATGGCGTTCTCGGCGCTGGGCTTCGCCAGCACCTTGTTCGCGGCGGCGGTGTTCGTGCGCCACAACGACACGCCCGTGGTGAAGGCGTCGACGCGCGAGCTCTCCTACCTCATCCTGTGCGGCATGGCGCTGTCGCACGCGGCCACCTTCGCCGTGCTGGCGCGGCCCGCGCGCCTCTCGTGCTCGCTGGCGCGCACGCTGCCCGGCCTGAGCTTCGCCATGATCTACGCCGCGCTACTCGCCAAGACGAACCGCATCGCGCGCATCCTCGCCGGCTCCAAGAAGCGCTTCCCCACGCGCAAGCCGCGCTGCATGTCCGCGTCGGCGCAGGTCAGTGCGGCGCCGCCTCGCTTCCCTACTCGCAAGAAACGAAGGAGCTTTAAACTCCGTAGTGGGAGCAGGCATATTGTGATAATCCGTAATATGGTAAAGGAAATAATCGTCCACAAAAGGTTTAATAATTTTTATTAATTATTAGCCAGAGTTAACTTTCGGGAAAACACTTTTCCCATCCTCAGTGGGTCTCTAGCAAGGAGGAGAAATAAAAACATTAACACAAGTTGAACACAAAAAATAAATACAATGAATTTAGTGGAAAACAAACAAATAATATCAAATAAATACAAATTAAAATACTTACCGCCCAAGAAACGTGGATCACCCATGAATGTTCACAACATGGTCAAAAAAATATGAAAACTGCAAATATGCTGGTTACAACTAGGTGGCAGCCATCAGAATCTTTCACATTCCAATTTTCTGTTCTGTTTTACATTCCTGTATGTAAAGCAGTCAATTTTTTAAGTCAATGACTACCCTTTCTTCTCCTCTATTCCCCCCTTTCCCTCAATAGATAGGCTTTCTCTTATTCCATTCCAAAAGGTGGCTGCCACCTAGCTGTAACCAGCATGTTTTGCAGTTTTCATATTTTTTTGACTGTTGTGAACATTCACGAGTGATCCACGTTGCGTGAGCAGTAAGTATTTTCAATTTGTATTTATTTGATATTATTTGTTTGTTGTTTCCACTACATTCACTGTATTTCGTTTTTGTGTTCAACTTGTGTTAATGTTTTCATTTCTCCTCCTTGCTAGAGACCCACTGAGAATGGAAAAACTGTTTTCCCGAAAGTTAACTCTGTATAATAATTAATAAAAATTATTAAACCTTTTGTGGAGATTATTTCCTTTACCATATGAAGGAAGTTTAGAATGTCTGGAAACAAGGTATTACACGCACATGTTTTCTTGAGGCCCGGCATACCTCCCCCGCTCATTTACTAACATTAGTTGAATTCAAAATAAATGATAGCTACAAGTTTTGTTCACAAACTCTGATAACCAGAAGTAATTACTTCAATCTAATAGAAAATAGTTTGCTTCGAAAAACGAGCTATAGATTTCATATAACAGCCCTTCCAATAAAAGAACCTCCCCCTCCCCCTCACATCTAGCGAAATGATGGGTCAATAAAACGTGCGGGGATAATATCTCCTTCTGCCCAAAGCTCTTGTTATTTCTTTCTCACTTCTATTTCACTTTTCATCTTAAAAGTATAAATTTACTTGGAACGATCCTGGGGCAATAGACTATCTTACATTTTCGGAATATACTATGTAACAGATTTTGAAGCATATTACATATCTGAATTTCTTCAATTGCCTACTCTTTCATGAGGATGTACATCGCCTAGCAGATATAATCACTACCCCACACCAGATATTGTGTGAATATGTCGCCCCCAGGCAAATGCTGGAGCAGTGCTCCCACAAACGGGTGACGGACCGCGCACGTTTTTTTCCTCTTCCTTATCTTATCTTCACCTCTTACTTAAACACACTTTCACTAACATGCACTACATTACCACACACGCAGGGACACCGGTCGGGAGTTTAGAGCTTGTCCCGGCTGGGGCGGTGCCCCACTGCTGAGAGATACCCGGCTGGGAAAAAACCCGCTAGCTGAAGGTAGGTCGGCGCCGTATCTCGCCATCCAGCAGGAGACGATATCGCCACCTATCGATGAAAAACATGCACTATAGTTACGGGACTAATGACCTTAGCCGTTGACGCGCCAGGAATCTCCAAACAATCAATGAAACTCGCTTATGGGGTTATGGTGAAATCATGAGTTTCTTAACATTCACGTATGCACGATATTACCTGTTATGATATATCACACCGTATCCGCGCTATCATATTTTGGATCTGATTCATAAAACTCGCGCGTCGGCGCTTTGTTAATATAATTGCCTACTAACTTAACACAGCTTAAACGTTCACTGCAGTCTTTATGTTAACTCCCCAGCTTAGTGAAACTGCCGCGCTACCCGAAGCTTTCAAAGCCGAGAATAAACAACGGCAAGTGTCTTCCAGCGGGGGCGCGGGCGCGCGTACACCGCATCCCAAAATGCGGTGCTGGCGCCCGCGGCCCGTAGGGTGAGAGGGCGAGAGGGCGAGAGGGCGAGAGGGCGAGAGGGCGAGTGGGTAGGCGGGGCTCGGGTTTCGGGGGTTTAATTAACGCGCCCACGCCGTCCGCCATTGTGTAGCGTAATTAAAAAGTGCTCGCGCGCGCGTCGACGCGCGTCTTTCCCTTTGCTATCTCCCGCCGCCGCTGCCAACGCGCTCGCTCGCACGCGCAGCCAGCGATACTTGGCTGGCGCCAACCATCGACCTTCACACATCGTGGCGCCGAGCGTGCGGTGTTGCGCTTCTAGCCATTGTCGCTGCTGGCGGCAGCTCTCTCGACTCGCGATGCGCGCTCTTTCTCTTATTACGATGTGCGCACTGGACCCTTTGCCTTTCGTTTTTTAATCCCAACGGTCACTCTGGGCAGTTTACTGTTCTGAACACGCTATATATTTGTAGATATTGACTTCGCTCATTAGTTCTGCCACTGCGTGATGACTGTGCTGCACTCACTGGCCCCATCGCTGTTTCGTTTTGTCACTCCATTCAATAGAACCATTAATAGACGAATTTTGGTTAGCACGTTGCACTTACCATACGTTGATACTACACTAATGAGTCCTGCCACTTCTTAATGACCATGCTACACTCACTAGTTCCGTCGCTGTTTAATTTCGACACTCCATTCAATTCAACCGTTAATAGACGTGTTTTGGTTAGCACATTGCACTTACCATACCGATCGCAGTTTGGTTACTTCGACAACCGTCACTCTTAGTAACCACTCTACTCTTACTACTCCCGTCAGCGCACGCATACGCGCGCCCTCACACACACACACACACACACAACCCGCACAACCCGTCATACACACACACGCGCGCGCGCGGTTTTGCATCGGCAACCTCATAACTCATCCATATGGGGAGAGGTGTCTTCGCTACGACTTCCAATTCCACCAGCCTCTCTTCCATCGTGTCCCGTTCCCAAAGATACAGCTTGGCAGCCATGGCACGCCACTTGCAATCTCCTGCTCGTCTCTCCTAGCTGTGCTGGCACCAACTTCTTCCCATGTTCATACCTCAACTCGCTTGCTCTGTCGCCCAGGCTACCACTACAATCACGCACGTGCGTTGGCATTCAGCGGTCCCACAGTTCCATGGACTCACAGCCAACCGCCGCTGCATTCAGAAATCCTATTGCCCGTCATCTCACTCACCTCTTGCTGATAGTTCTTACACTACCTATCGTAGTTTTCACATCCGTTTTGCTGTCTCGTGGTATTTTCACTCACCAGTTTGCCTTTGCTTTCGCCATTACCAGTTTCTACTTCGTTCCTCTATAAACCAGCCCATGGCTCTCTGCTTGGCTGCATGGCTCTCTGCTCACACAAACGTAGTTTTCTCTCAGTATCCTCCGTCATTTGTTTAATATTATATCACTTACCCACACTAATTATCAGTAAATCAATTAGTTCTTCATCTGTGGAAGTGAATTTCCAGACACACTGCCTCGAGAGTCTTACTTAAATTCATTGATTTACTACTGAAAAAAACATTGCCATGGTATATCCCTTTAACCGTGTATTTATCAATTTACATGATCTTATTTAAATATTATTTTATTTAGAAAATTTCGTTTCGTCTGCATTCTAGTACATTGTTTTTCTAATCATTATTCGCCTCACCTTGGCATTCTTCTTCTCCTTCTCCTTCTCCTTCTTCTCCTGCTTCTTTTTATTCCATTTTTTAATACATTACTATCTTCTCACTCAATTCTCTTGACTTTCCTCTCCTGTCCTTTCCTGCTCTTCATCGAATCACCCTTATTCCTTCAGCATCTGCTTTTCCCCTGCCTCGGCCTCATGCACGCGTCAGAGCCTTTCCAAGGGGAACTCTCTGCACTTCAAGGGAACAAGTTGTGAACATTCCGGGGGAGTGACAGCTTGGATGAGATTTCATTGTTTACTGTGCCAGAGTTTGCTGCAGGCGTCGCAAACAAATTTTGGGAAATAATTGGCCACGAAAGTTGTGTAATCACGTCGAGAACCTTCTTCGAAAGCGTGTAAATTAGAGAACTCCTTTCTATTCTAAGCTGTTGAGTTCAATAGAAAAACAATAAAACTCAAGTACACTAGAATGTGTTAATTTCCAAAAAGCTGTGTTGCATGTTTTTGAAGGTTTTTAATGAAAGTGATTGGTAGTTCGTGAGGTTCAACGCATTTTGTTCATGTTCTGCTCTACCGAAGTGAAAAATTAAGGGCGAACTCCACACACAGGCAATGCCTCAGTGTTTATTGGATTGCCTACCTTCCAACGCTGCGGTAAATTATACATAGACCCGTTTATGTGAACGATTCAGTCATACAGACAAACCATTATCAAATGGAAATTAATCTTCGTAAATTTGAATCAAAAATCTCTGGCGTTTAACTATCTTTATTCGCGCTAAATATACTCCTGCGGAATAGCTTGGAATTCAATTAGAAAAATTACTCTATTGATGCATATGGTATCAATTGTAAAGGCAATATCAAAGTGCATAACCGTAAGTGTTTACGTATTAAATTGACAATCAAATTCATATTAGAAGTCAGATTTTTTAGTATAAAAGTTAATTATTCGGCCTACAATGGTTTAAACATATCCAGAAATGAAGTATATTACCCCAACAAATTAATATCTAATAAATTCTTTAAAATAAATATTTATTGTTAATTCATAATTGTCCAAAAAGTCGTGAATAAAACATACTGACTACTTCAAAATTCAGAAATGTTAGCGGTCTTTCACAGGCACAGACTTTCAAATGAATATTATATACCTCTTTATGCTTCTGCTAGTAGTAAAATGTTTATCTTTGGAATAAATCATTTTACTCGTTTTTAAATCAATCAAGCTACTACTAATACAACCTCCCTAAAATGTGTGGTATATGAATTATTGAACTACTCTGTCAACATTTTCTGGAATATACACGTGAAGATTTTTAGTGCAAAATGATGTTCAACACGTATTAATTCATATTCCTTTACTTTGTTTAATCCAAAAAAATATTTTTCAGCATAAAGTTCAGTATTTTTTTTCTTGAATATTGTCGTAAACATTAGCTTAAACACCATGTAAAATAGATTGTCGAACAGATGGAAAGCATTTGAAAAAAAGAACGCAATATTTTCATTTCCATTAATCCATTTTTATTAATAAAAAATGATCACGTTGCGAATGAACAACAAAATAAGTAGCACTAACACCAGTGGACGGGGAATAAATAGTTCATTGTCAGACAGGTCCATGAACGAGCTTCACAATGAAGGTACTTTCACCGACGTCAAGTACACCGTTAGATCAATTTACGCATCAAATCGAGTGTTTAATGATGATTGCGTGGGGGATTGTCCGCACTCTTCTCCCCAAACCCGAATTGGCCCATCATTCCGCGTCGAAAGGTCATCCCATTTCAGTGTGTATAGCGATTGTTTGACGAGATGACCGGCCAGCCGGCAACAGGTACTCTCGACGCGGGTGGGCTCGCCCCCGCCCGCGCTCGCGCCCTCCACGGGGGCATTGTTTGTGGGATCGATGACGCTTCTTTGTTTTCGCGCCGAGCACTCGCCCTTCCGCCGATGGCACTCGACAGTGCTGCCCCTCACGGCGGCCGCTCGTGACGCTCTCGCAGCGCCCTGCCGCGCCGCGCCGGCACCTGTTGCTCTCCCGCTGCGCACGTTTTCACTGCCTGCGTCCAACAGACCCGCGCCAGCGCCGCGTATTCTCTGTCGCCGGCACGAACTCTGCCTCGCCTTTACCGCTCCTGTTATCAAGAGTTGGTGGTTGTAGTTGTAGATAGCGCACAACGCCCTCGACATCACCATCTCACAATGTATGCAGAGCGCGCTGATGCCGTGTCCGATACCACCCCAGTTACCGCTTCAGATTCCACTTCAACAGCGACCGCGGCATTAATACCAACGCCTTCTCTCGCCCGGACACTGATATCGACGCCGACACCGCTCCACACTTCGTCACTGTCATTGAGCTCACCAGTTCTGCGCAGTCCGTACTCGCTCTCCGTAACTCCACACCCGCCACTGTCACTGTCTCACCGGCCCCGACATGAAAATAACTCCTGGTTGTTATTCCCCGCATTCGCTCATATCATCGACGGTGTGTTAATCTGGCATCCATGTGCCACGCCTTCCATTGGTCTTTAATGACACTGTAAAGATAGCAATTCCCGTCTTACCATTCCCTCACATGCAGCTCACTCCCCGCGCTTCATGAGATCTCTATTCCTAAAACACATAATTGCTAACACGTTCAGTCAGTCGCGCAGTCAATGGCACTGTCTTCATTTTTATTATCATTGTGCATACGACCATCGTTTCTACCACTCTGACTCCCACGACTCCCACCACCATCTCGACCCCTACAACCATCACCACCCCCATGATCAGAACAATCGTCATGTTGACTATGATAACCGCAACCACTTCTCAACCATCAAGATAGCAGAGTTCACCTTGGCCACCTCCGTTATCAAAACGACTATTGCCAACTATCGCTCGCATGTTTTCACGGGACAGCATAACTCGAATTAAAACTGACCACGTCCCTTTCATTGGTACCTATTGCAATAAATACACATTTATGCGCAACAATGATTCTGGAATGTTTTTGAATTTCAGTTTTCAATCATATTTATTAATTATTCTTGGATAAATGGAAATACATTATAAGTTTCGAAATATTTCATAAATTATTTTTTACTTTACCAAAAATTAATGTTATTATTTATCTTTAGTTTGCTTTAACATCGTGCTTATTCCGACGTGCTGCAGTAAAACAGCATTGTTTTATAGAAGACAAGTGAGGCAAGTTCGTCCATACAAATGTAGCGTAGAAGTTCATTATTCATGGCGCAGCGTGTTATTACCGACTTCATAATGCAGCACTCCGGAAATTACAATGAAACAGACCAGCACTAAACTCGCTAGCTTGGAAGTTCCAGATGATGGACGTGTACAAGCAAATACGGTATTATGACGAGTAGATTTGGGAGGAGGAAAATTAATACTTCGTGCATACGAGATTGGAGTGGAGAATGTGAATACTAAACGAGATGTGGCTAAAAGTAATTCTGTACTGTGTGGCTAACGTTGCCATGATATTTTAATTGATATCTCTATCTAGCTTCCCCTATCTCGTTACACAAATGTATTTGACGTAATAAAATACAAATCTTGTTTTTAAATTTAATCGAAAAAAAGTACCTATAACTCAGAATAATGTTAGCAAAGTTGGAATGAATGTAATTGTGTAAAAAACCGAAATATTAGATTTAACCGATTCCTGATTAAATGAAATACGTGTGCAAATATGAAATAAACGCCCCAATTGCTTCGGGACACAGAAAACCTGGTTGCTGTGTTTTCACCAACTGCCTTTAGGCAGATTGCAGGAATTTGTAATGTTTTGCTCAGTGTACAGCTCCCCTATGGGGACAACTCGATTGTTGATTTCAATAATATATGGATGATGGGGGTCAATCCCGTCTCCCGAAATCTCAAATAAAAAATACCATGATGTAATGAATGCCGTGTAATGATTATCTAAAAAGGTAAGGATATTGAATAACCTCGTATTTCAAAAAACAATCAAAAGGTAATCTAAATTTAATTGTCTGAGAATAAACAGTAAAATAATTGGCAGCTACGACTTTTAACCCCTCTAATAACTACAAGTACTCTTTTGTATTGAATAGCAATGCGATGACTTGTTCATGTCTGCAAGAATCCAATCAAATTAAAACATTGAAAGTGTGTTCAGTTATAGTTCTTTCACGGTTTATTTGAAATGGTAGTAGAGAAAAGGTGTGGTAATAGAGAAAACAATGTAAGGAACTAGGTAGTTATTGTTAAAACAGTTGAATGTTATTAAACAATTGTTAAAACAGTATTATTTTCATCTGAACTGATTTTCGGTTACTGAGTGATGAATGTATGTAGAAAAAAAATTGTATGATTTGAGAGTAAAATAATGCTAGATAATCGTTCTCTCAGAAGCTGACTCTCAGAAATAAAATGTAATTTTCTTGTATCACAAATAATTATTAAATCTCTTTTTTAACTTCCTAGTTCTACGGAGTTTTGGCTAAAGCTTGCTGAGCGGCTATGAGTACAATAATATGTGTACCAGGAGTAATGAAGGATTTCGTCCTCTATGGGACTGCCAAGAATAAAACCTTATTTTTACTCTTACAGACAGCCTTTGATTTGCTCGGTACTCACTGATTTCTAGGAAAGCAGTAATCTTTTCTCTAAACTACTTCATCTTCCTCTTCTTCTCCTCTTCTTGTTCTTTTTCTTCGTCCTCTTCTTCTTCCTCTCCTTTTTCCTCTTTCTCTTCTTATTTATCTTTCTCTTCCTCTTCTTCCTCGTGTTCTTCCAGGTATACTTCCTCTTCTTCTTCCTCTTTTTCTACTTTCTTCTTCCTCTTCTTCTTCTTCTTCTTATTATTATTATTATTATTATTATTATTATTGTTGTTGTTGTTGTTGTTGTTGTTAATGTTCTTCTTCTTCTTCTTCTTCTTCTTGACTCCCGTCCTCCTTTCCTGCGTGAGCGCGACCTGGGCGCAGGTGCTGATCGCGTCGGCGCTGATCGGCGTGGAGGCGGCGGTGACGGCGGCCATGCTGGTGGTGGAGCCGGCGGACGCGACGCTGCTGTTCCCGACGCTGGAGCGGTCGGTGCTGGCGTGCAACACGTCGCCGCTGGGCGTCCTGGCGCCGCTGGCCTTCGACTTTCTGCTCATCGCGCTGTGCACGCTCTACGCACTCAAGACGCGCAACGTGCCCGAGAACTTCAACGAGGCCAAGTTCATCGGCTTCGCCATGTACACCACGTGCGTCATCTGGATCGCCTTCGTGCCGATATACTTCGGGAGCGACTCCAAGGTTCGACTCAATCCCCAGAGAGCCACTTACAAAGTACGATTTGCAATGTTACACTTTTTTTTGCGAGATACGACATGCGTGTGGCATGGAAGCATCTTGCTCGGCACGATTTCTTCTCTCAGGTACTGGTAATGCATATTGATATCGATTCACACTTTTTACTCGAATGTCTTCGTTTAAAACGTAAAGAACTTATTTTCTAACACTTGAGACATCATTTAATATAATTCTACCTGACATGATTTCTTCATTCCTACTGTTTATAATATGTGTCCGTCATGAACCACAGTCTGTTGATAGAGTTTCTAGACAGATCTTTGTTTTCTCTCTATATTCCACGTGAATATTTTGGATCACCTCCATGTCTGCATACTTCTGGATTGACTCCAAGGTTTGCCTCACCCTTCAGAGTGCAACTTACAAAGCACGGTTTGCAATATTACACTTTCTGCAAGAATCGACACGCGTAAGGCATAAAAGCGTCTTACCAGCACGATTTTTTTCTCTTGAGCATTGTTAATGCATATTGACACCATTACTCATTTTTCAATCGATACGTTGTCATACAAACTTAGAAGACCTATTTTCTACTATATGATATGTCATTTTATGTAATATTGCCTGTCATGTTCTTTCATTGTGCATACTGTCTGTCATAAAATACAATTTGATAGTGGAATGTGAATACCGTCCTTGTCTTTGATATGTTCTCTACCTGTGTTGTCTGAATTGCTTTCGTGTCTGTGTACTTCCGGAGCGACTCCCACTGTTTAATACACTCCTTAAAGTGTCATTTACAAATTCAATGTTTCATTTTCTGTAAAAACCTACATGTAATGAACGCGTCTTTCTCAGCACGAATTCTTCTCTCGAGTATAATTAATGCATATTGACACCATTGCAAATGTCTAACTTGACACTTTTCGATACACGCTTAGAAGACTATTTCCTTCCGTGTAAGATGTCGTTTAATGTAATATTGCCTTCATTCTACTGCTCATAATTCATAATACCTGTCATGTGATACAGTTTATTGGTAGAATTTTAAGTCTTTTATCTCTATGGGATTGAATTATTGACTATATACTTTGCGAGCAGCTCCAAGATTTGACTTACTCCTGAGTGTGCAACATTCAAACTACGTTTGCAAGGTAACTCTTCCGATTGGAAACAACAAACGCTAAAATTTTTTCTCTAGGTAGGATTACTCTCATGTTTCTCGATATTATTACTAATATCACCGTTAGCTCCATTACTGTTATATATAAATACTCGTCTTCCTCTCTCTCGCAGTATCGCAACGAGAATTTTTCAATGGGGGATATTTGTTTTTCTTTTACTGTAGGGATAATTTTTCGTAGACGTAGTGTTTTATAATTAATTTTTTAAATGTTTAAAATCAGGAATGACTAGCTGAAGGGGAAACTATTGGTTGAGTTCTATGAGTAGGGTCAGTGGATTTTAATAGTTGTGAGACTTTTTTCCTTTTTCAGGGGATGAAAAGGATTTTAATAAATACTTTTATATTTGAAGACTGCCGCAGGTTGGCAAGTTCAGAATATTTTAAGATTGTATGGGATGTGGGAACATTAGTTCCACATTTGTGACAAGGCCTAGAGTCTCTTTTTTAATTAGGTGAAATATAGTAATTTATAATGTACACAGTTGATATATTTATGACTTTTGTTCCTACAGAAAAATAGTAAAAACGGTATTTGTGAATATTTGTCGTCGACTTCTAGAGAAGAATCACGCCACACGACGCCCCCTCCTTGTTGAATGCGCCACTGCCTCTTGATATTCCTGTTGGTAGAGGAAGAGGTAGGATTGTGAGATACCGTTTGTGTTTTGGGATCTTCAAGGTGCCAGAATAACCGTAACTAAAAAAATGAAATGCGTATTTTTACTAGGTTTAGTATAAAATGTGCTATATTCACCCGAGCATTCTAGGTTTTATGTAATATTTATGTTTTGTTATAAATGGTGTCACTACCAGTGAATTGGACACTTGGGTAGTACTATGAGACAGTGCTGTTTTATAGAACAAAAAGCCGTCAGTTGTTCCAAAATGTTACAAAACGACTTTATTGACGTACACTATGTACAAAAAGTAAAAATACATGTTTACAAAGCACTTGGTTTTATAATAATCACAAATGTAGACTGCATTCTCTAGAGCGACAATCACTATGAATCCACATTCTGTACAAGATACCGTGAATCCACAATTCACCCACACACTTTAGAAAATGTAGTCATTAAAACAGTCTGGCAGTAATATGAGACGGTTTCTTAATGCTACCAATCAAGTGTCTCATATTACAACATCTACGTTATCTTAGATTGTGCCAACATATCGTATCGAACATTGCATTTTATTTCAAATCCTCGGTAATATTAAAAACTGCAATATTTCAATGTCAACTTACCTCCTACACTTATTGTATAACCATAAGATATGCCGAACAAAATTGTAGTTCAGTGTAGAGCTACAAAAACCTTTCACGACAGTTCTAACTACAAATTTCATCTCGGGAAACTTCTAAGAATAAAGTGACCAGCAGTTGAGGGAATGCAACGATGATGCTAGACTTCGTAGTTATTTAGTCACTCGACAAATACCATCACTATACAGAGGCGAAAATCTTGCTGCCATATTTCTACCTTATCTCATATTCCTACGTCTTTCCCTAAAGTATGGAAGTTACATCTCTTACTTGTTATGGTGCCATTAATAGTTGATGAATCTCTTTATGATGCCTTTACATCCTGAAGGGTAATTTATTAGTAGAAAGTATAAATTCATTGATAACTTCTTTAACACTGTCAACGTAATCTCTATCTGAGACATCTCGAGCAACTTCAATGTTCGACTCGCTGCCCCTACGTTGTTGGTGTTACCTTTGATATATCACTCGCAAAGTTTATATCAAAAGGTATATTGACTGTATTAGTGTAGGTGATTTTTCACCACGTCAATGTTACCTGCAGAGTTCTCTCACATTGGAAGTCGACAGAGGTTTAGCTCCTCGAAGTAATCTCATCGCTTGAATGCAGATCGTAGAGGACAATTTTACATGAATGAGTGAGGGTGTTTTCATGTCGTTAGTTTATTATTTCCTCCCTAATATATCTTCGCAGCGGATTTCTTGGAGGTCAAACACCATCGTAATGCTGCAGAGAGGCAAATAGTTTTCCGTGTAGAGTTGGATAATAAACACTGCTGCGGAAGTTATCCTAAAGATGATTCAATAAGTATGTCTGGATATCTTCAAACCTTAGTTCTACTCTGTCACCAAAATCTGTTAAATGTTATCGTCTCACGTCTCTTGTGAGGTTAGAAATAAGTTTCTGGAAGTGCAGAATTCCTTTTTTCTGCAGAAATATCGACGGTTGTTTTTACAAAATAATGTTATTTGAAACCATTTTATTTTTCTTTCATACTATTCGACAGTAAAAACAGTAAAGTATGTATTTCTAAAATGCGAATTATCATCCTTTCATTGAGATCGTTGGTTTATAATTAAATTTTAAATACTGTTCTTGAATGAAAACATAATGAACAGAACTTAGTTCAAATTTCTATATTGAAAATATGTTTTAAACAATTGACGTCGTTCGTTTGTTTTAATGAATCCCAACAGTAATTAATCCAATACACACTTTTAATCGAATGTACGCGGAATAAAACTTCCTTTAGTACAATGTAGTTACTAAGTATTTGAATATTTTCGATTCACAAAAATTCTTTCCGTAGTTTCCATCAGAATAACAATGTGCGCCGAATTCAGAATCGCTTCCTTAAGCATAAGCAACCCAAAATTGATATTTAAAATTTCTTTAATCTATCTGTAGTTAAACTTTATTGCTTGGAACAAAATATTTTCGCGTTTTTTGACAAATGTTCAAATTTCATTTCTTTTGTGCTCTATTGGGGTCTTTATGTTTATTTACAACAAACCTATCTTTTACCTTTGAATTTAAGAAACATATTTTTTAAATTAAATTAAATCTCGGGGGAAGAAAATAATATTCTAAATTCTAGTTTCGTTCTCGCAGAGCCACTTGCAATGTTTCAGAAATAGAAAGGAATAACGAATAACAAGAGTTTATTTTGTAAGTGTTTACAAAATCCAAAATTCAAATCGTTTCAAAAAGTATGTCAGCTAACCACATATTATGAACAAAAATACAAAGTCTGAAACACATAGTAACCACAATTTGCCCCATTGGCACAGCGTAGTTCACCAACACTCCGGCATAATCACCGACACACGACAGAGTTCAACTTGTCAAACTATGATCAAGGAACTCCATCTCTCAACTCATTTACTATTATATCATGCCGTGTTGTTGCCTGACATTGTATATCTCCAGGTGAAGATTCGCTCCTGTGGTTTGTGGTTTGCCCATAGACGATAAACTAACCTCTTGCGCTGGTTAGAGGTCGTTAGATATGAAGGTATATTAGGTCTTAAGGAAGAAAGTATATTTTTTATTTTATTTTTTCTTGCTTTTTTAATTCATTTATTAATTTGTTTTTAATGAAGCCTGGAATTTTAATGTGTAGCTCTGAACAGGTAGCAGGAAACTATCGATACCTGTTTGTGATACAAGTCGCATTACTAGCTCTTTTCTGCGAGCTCCTCGAATGCATTCTATTCTTAGTAATGTTTTTTACTCGGAAATGGTAAGCGTAGTAGTTGTGCACTGAAATCCCTTTTTCTTTACACGATGTATTGGTTTAGGTAAGCATTCTCCCTGAAATGTATAATTTCATACGTATTACTACGGGATTAATACGGGAATTTATTTGAAATTATTGAAATTTAATCTTTAGTTCTCAGGCATAATTTCCACATCTACATATACTACTTGTAACTTCCTTAAAGATTAAGAAATGAAAACTTTTCACCTATTACACTTCCTGTGCAAACCTATTACACTTTCGGTGAATACCAATTAGACCTGAATACCTATCATATCTGCATATTTGGACGTTTTAGTTCTAGATCCCTGTGGTAATGGACCTTCTACCGCGCAGAACTTCTGTAGTATTAGACCTACTGCGCAAAAGACCTCCGGTTGCATTTGACTATCTGTCCGTGGACCTGTCCGTGGACCTGACCGTGGACCTGACCGTGGACCTGACCGTGGACCTGACCGCGGACCTGAAATTGCTTTGGGTCCATCGCTCTCTGCTTCCTCCACAGTCGGCACGCAACCTTTTCACCGCGCGCGCGCTATTTAACTCTGCGCACTCCCGCACCACAAAGCGTCTAACGTGCGCGTGGCCACGCGCCTGTCCGCAGGTGATCACCATGTGCATGTGCGTGACGCTGAGCGCGCAAGTCACGTTCGTCTTCCTGTTCCTGCCCAAGATGTACATCATCCTGCTGCGGCCGGAGCGCAACAACAGGGCCTTCTTCACCACCACCTCCAAGATCCGCTGCCACATCGGCAGCCGCGTCGCGTCGGCGCAGCACTCCAAGCACGGCTCCAACTCCTACTCCAGCCCCGGCTCCGCCAGGTGGCTCATTTTCACTTCTCTTAGCCGCTCGGGCGAACGCACCTCTAGTGGCCACACTCGGGATCGATTTTTTCTACAATATTTAAGGCCTATGAAAATTAGATATAGTCACAGGGCCTGTTGGAATTAGATGTAGAGGCAGGACCTATTGGAATTAGATATAGCCGCCAGGCTTATGGGAATTATATATAGCCGTAACTCATATGTGTACCTCATTGGGCACGCTTCATATCTTTTATCTTTTTTGGATAGATCCCATGCCTAAGAAGGACAAATTTCGAATTGTTCGTGTTTTTATCAATTTCTTTCCAAACCTCTAAATTTCAAAATTGGTCATACATTCAACTCAGTAATTCCCAATCGACCCCCTTAAATGTTGGTGACGAAAAACGTCCAAAAATTACCATTTCATGTTACAGTATAGCAATACCTTAATCTTTAATTATATGTTTAGTAAATAATTACCTTTAATTAATTGAAGGATTTATAATATACTATATAAGATGTTTTCAGATTATTTTTTAATTATAAAATGAGGGAAACGAAATTATCTTCTTTCTCATCCTCATTACTCAGAGCCGTTAGCTCCGTGTTATACGTACATAATTTGATGCAAGTGGGAAGCCTATAATTCTTATAGCTTTTCTCTGCCACTATCGATACGGTAGCCACTACTAGTGTCGTGACCCTATTCTTGAAGATTCTTGGAGATTCTTAAGAGATAATCATATTAATACATGAATATCATCATTAATGACTCAATATCACACGTTATAAATAGATTTGTTTTATTCCCACGTACCAAAATTCAGAGCAACCGTTTCGTCATTGTTAAAGAACGTGTTTGTAATTTTTATGATTTGAAAATACAAGCACAAGATGATAAATACAAGCAGAAGAGTGAGATATAGCTGAGCCTTTCCGGAGGTCATCAAGATATTTTAATTTTGGGGCATACTTTACATGAAACCCCTGCGATATTTTCAAAATGTTTTCGAAAATTGCTGCAATTTCTTTCTATAAATTCATTCTTCAGGTCATTCAATTCTTCAGGCATTTTAAATCTTGCCAATTGTTTTCAATGAATAATAGAGTGACGAGAAATAAATACATCTGATCTGGACCTTTACAGAGAAGTGTAACTACCGAACGGAAGGCTCGAGATGGTGATAAATGGATAAAATTATATAGTTTCAATCTACACACCTGTAATTTGGTCATTTGTAATATAGTTTAAGAAATATTTCTCTTTCGCTTTATCGTAGACAAAAACGTATTATACAATGAACTCTAGAATTTGTTAAGGCGTTTGTACTTTACTTGTATTTATTACGTAACACTACATTTCAGAGAAATCCAGCTGCATATTTAGTTTCTGACTCGCAGCAATGGAGATACTAAATTAAATTAGATTAGATTTATTAATAATTCTGCAATTAAGTTTGAGAACTTGGTGGGAGAATACACTAACTTAACATTACTGAACTTAACAACTTTACAAAATCTACAAACTTTACAAATTAACGTGAACATTTCACCGTGCAATCTTTCATAACACTCCACTTCACCACACTTCACTTCACCGCACTGCGAAACACCGAGCGGTAATGTGTTTCTTATACAGTCGTTTCCCTCAGTTTCACAACGTCACTGCACTTCACATAATTAATAAAAATGATAATAATAACATTAATAATAATAATAATAATAACAATAATAATACTTAATTGCATAGAAGATATAGTTGCTTACATTGAATTTTATTAAATATATTTATTTATCAACACTCAGGAAACTAATTTATTTTAAAATTTGCTCAGGCTTTGAGGAAAGGGATCGAAGATTGTCACAGGACTACTAGGTTTTCATTTCTGAAGAAAACTCGCGAAACGTGACCCACTCGCATGCCGCGGACCGTGGCGCGTGAGACCGGCGCCGAATGGGAGACCAACAGAGGCCTCTCGCCGTGTGTCACCTGCCGTCGTAGCTGTCGGGACTACGTGGAGGGGGCGTGTGCGCGTGTCTCAGACGCACTGACCAGGATTACAACGCCCCCTCCCATTCTCGGTCGCAGGCCTGCTCTCGTAGTTTGACTCCCACTAAAGCATTTTACTCGCTCGCAGTCTCCCAGAATCGGTTGGCCGCGCCGCATAAGAATAAGGAAGAGGAAGAACGAGAATAATAAATGAACAACACTGTCACAATCTAGGTGTGGCAGGAAATGCGGGGTTAATTTTCAACGACTTCATAAGCGTGTACTGAAACGACTTTATTAACATGTTGAATATCTCGGAAACAATAGGACGTTGTGGGCTCTGTAGTTTTCGTGTGATCGTATGTTGATGACATGCCGTTTTCATTACTTTTTTCTTACCGCGTCTATTATAGATAATGCAAATATTAACAAGACTTTTGTATGAAAAGTATATTTTCAAATAATAATATTGAATAATTTGCATGTTATCTACGAACAATATTTGTTCACATAATTGGCAGTTTTCTTTGTTAATTATCTACGAATGGGAATTTTTGTGTCACAATAAACTGCAGATAGTATTTTCAAGAAATAATGTTATGACCTTATACAAGTTACACATCTTTAATACATGAATAATATCATTTTATAAGAGAATGCGAATTATATATCTCGGGTGCAACACCGATAATCATTCGAATCTCCAATCGAATAAATTCTGAATGGTACTGATCAAAATCGTGCTTAGAAACATTTCATTGGCTTCGGACGAATTTTTGTCGAACGTGAAGTCCTACGAAAGAAATTCTCCAGTTTCTTCTTCATAGTAAATATTCTGATGTCCAATTTCGCACGCCGTAACAAGGAACTGAATCCAAGTCAACCAGTAACGATGGTGAATATAATAGATTTAACAATTTAATCCGCGTTGTAAAAATAAATACTAGCAAAATATAATCGCCATTGAACGGAAAAAATGTAAGACTTCACGAATCCGGAACCAATTTCACCCCTAATAGTATATATTGGGATTATTCTAACAATCAACACAGCCGTCAGAATTAAATCAAAACAATCACTTTGTAGCCCTCACCGAAGGCTATGGGATGCACCGTCACACCTGGAACCGTATTCGAATAAAATTATACCGAGAGTCATCACGAATCACGAATCCAACGAATCGTCGTGAATCGTTACTTCCTACCAGAGAAGCTTGTGTTTTTAAATTTAATAAAAAATTCTTATACGGCGATTTAGCGCTATACAAGAGCGTTTTGACATTAATTTTACATAACTATCTTCTCGTTAATCTTAGTAAGAGCGAGGCCATTCCCTCATTTCAATTTGCGTATTGCGTTTGGAGTGATGGGGGAAGAAACCACCAAAACGCTAGTTCCACCCTCCAGCCCGAAAGAAAGGCGGGGTGAAGGGCCCTATTTCTCACGCTGCGTTTCCGTCCGGGCGGGGGCGCGGATCGTGCGTGCGTGCGGTTATCGGAGCTCGTCAGCGCGCGGACAGCGCTGTTCATTCGCGTCTGATTAATGGCGACGGCGGTGACGACGACGCTGACGGATGGCTGGCGGCCCTGTTGCAGGGAGGCGGGGTCCCACGAGGCGGCGTGGCGCGCCCCCGACGCCGGGCTCGTCTTCTCCACCGGTGAGTCCCCCCCTCGTCCCCCGCCACGGGGCCAACGTATTCTACTTTCTCTTGTTCTAGATGATGGTGGTACTCTTGATTGCATTGGTGTTGTTTTTGATTATCTTCCTAATGATGTTCTTTATTATGGTATTCTTGATGATGTTCTTATAGTTATGTTATTATTTATGATATGCTTGATGATGCTGTTCTTTATAATGTTATTGATGAAAAATTGGATAATGATATTCTTGAATATGGTGATATTTCTGATAATGATAATTATAATGTCCCGGCGCTAGAGATGTATCTATTAGCCCATTTAATAGGTTCTGACGTCCGGCCAATTTATAATTTGGTACATTTTACTCCCAACGGTATCTACTAATTGTGGATTCTCATAACCGCTACCACAATGCAGCCAGCGACTGAATCTGATTTAGTTATTACTTACGTTATTCTCAGGCTTAGAATATATTAGATATGATTAGAACAAAAAAATTGCCTATCATGATTTCATTATGTGGCCAGGGCCTTTTACCATACTGAAGAATTCGCTGCCTTTAGTAAATACATCCCCTCCTGCAGGATGTTATCACACGATGTGGACTCATCAAACGCATTAGGCTGTTTTGTGTTTGTAAATTGTTCATACGTAATTGCATAGAACGTTTTCGCCCTTTTCAGCACCACTGTACACTTCTTGCATTCGTTGCAATATTCCCGCTTTATACTATTCTATTTGCGTTGTGCCAAATTTTTTCAACTGCCCCAAGAATAATGAGCAGCCCAGTTCCGTAAACGTTCTTGCCCAGCACGTGTAACTTTGTCGTAGAAATATCAGCAGGTTTTAGTTTATGAACTTGTTGACTGAAGAATTGTTGAAATAAAGAGTCATTATGTTTCTTAAGAAAATGAACACGTCGTCGTCACCGCATTACGAGCAATAAGTGCAGCTTATTTGATAGGAATTATTTCTGGATTTTCACCATAATGAATATCGTTCTTGACAATTGCACGAGAAAAGAGAAAAAAAAACAACAAAAAACCAAAATTTCATTAATAATTAATAAAAACATTCTTGAATGTCTTTAAATTAAAAACGTTCCGTTTTTTAAAAATTCATTCATTCTTTTGTACAATTAATAAATTTTCATTGAAAAAAAATACTCGAGAAATGGAGTTGATTTAAACACTTTTGGAACTAGGTCTAACATTTCATTGAGTTTCAAAGTTTCATTCAAACAACTGAGAGTACATTTGCGTCATAAATTAAGATCTGGCTTTTAGGAGTTTTGTAGTCGTTTTAATGGGATTTCATTTGTAAATTAAATATTTTTCCTACGCCGCGTTTAAATATATCTTTAAATACTTAAATTTGTGATAAAAAACAAGTAAGTATCTTATCGACTTGCTTCGCTTCAGATATTAAGCCCAGGGTTTTGGTATGAGAAATGACCCAGTTCATAAAAAGTCATCTAGCAGAAAACAACGGGAAGTTACTTAGTATCGTAATTGAGTGTCTTTATTAAAAATAATATTATTTGACCTTTTCATAGGTGCGCAATGCATGATATTTCATTTTCGATATTTAAAAAAAACGGAAGAAACAGTTACAGTTTTTAACAGTTTTCAAACGCATTCTACCTTATGAATAGTGCTTTAATTATTCAAGTTTCTGTCTGTTTTATTGGTGCAAATGGGGTGAGAGGTGCAACAGGTTAAAATTGATGCAACCTCCGTCGCTGTGTCTGGCAGTGCAAAAAACTGCATCACGTCCCGCGGCATGTCTTGTGCAATTCAAACCACGATTCTGATACTTCCTTCTTCTAAATCGAATAGTTGGTGGGAAAAGGTCTTCCTTATACAAGGTTAGCCTGAGAAATTTGCTCGTTTATCGCTTTCATCCGATTGTTTTATTGTTATCAATATTTCTACGTGGTGTCCACTGATAAGCATTATTGAATTTCTGATGAATAATAGTGGCTCTAAAGCCACAAAAATATTATTAGAATATTGTTAATAATAATAATATGAGGCATTTTTAATTTTTGAAGTATTTTTTCTTTTTTTTTATTTCTTTTTCGTTGAAAGCAATTGCAAACATGCTGCTCAAGAATGTTTTGTTTTGTTTTTCATTTGAGCATAGATTTTAATGTTGAAGAATCTGAGGTTGTCTCCAAACCACTGTTTGTCGAAGTTGAGGTGGACTAATGGTGGTTGCGTAAGGACTGACTCAGAAATATTTAGTTTTTATCGACTGCAAATTCCTTGAATATGTGCACCTATGAGCTTCAAAATGTTGGGAAATCTTCTTTTTTACGATTTGCTGACAAAGATAGCGAATTTTGTCGTGAGTACTCGTAAATGTCGTGAACGAAGATACAACAGATTTATCCCTTAATGCGACAACTGATTGACTGACTACAAGCAGTGGCACTATGAGACCGCAGATCCGATAAATAGCTGGTCTCATCCATCAGATACATTACACAGCCTTTGCAACATGTGTGTTACAATACTCCCACATTACACACTGAAAGTTATCAGGGAACAAAAACTATAATTTATCAAGGTTCCTAGAACTATACAATTATGCAATGTCTAATAAACCATTTTGATTTTATGTTAATTTTGAGAATCACTTTTAAGATCCTGAGTGTTAGAGAAAATAATTACGTTAAAAAACTGACTTATTTAGTTCACATTTTTTTATGAATGATTAATAATGTTGTGATAGTAATAATATGTTAAGGGAGTATTATTTTATCTTCTATTTAACCAAGCAGAAATGTGGATTCGTATTTCAGAAAACTATGATTCTTTCCCCTCAAGAGCAGAAGACTGCAGTGAAATATTTGCAATTTTGACACTATTCTAAAGCTTGAAATATTTGAAGGAGGATGTTTGTGCTCTCTGTGTGTATGTGTGCATTTGTGTGTGTGTGTTTGTGTGTGTTATGTGATATTCAGTGTATTTAAATGTGTGTGTGTGTGTGCGCGCGTTCGTGCGTGTGTGTGTGTATCGGTGATTGTGTTTCTCAATTTTGTTCTATAAGCGATGACTCACAATTTTTGCACGAGTACTTTTTAGACACTGAAAAAAAAACTTCGAGGGTTTGCTATATTAAAATGTTAAACAACATTTGATTGTACCCCGAACATTATGCTACTGTAATTCATATAGAAATGAGATACCTCGTTTCTTCATGATGGAAATCGCCTAATTTTCAGCACGCGTACTTTTTTGACGAGTGAAATGATGATAGTGGAAAGTGAAAAAAAAAATTGTGTACTTTGATCAAATCTGCGCTCTCATCTTTTACCGATTGTCCTGTTTATTTAAGAAAGCAAAAACCATAAGAATAGTACATTATATTAAAAATGTTTGAATATTTCGCTTTCTGCTATTATATTGCAAGATCTTTGTTAATTTTCTTTGTCCCTAGAAAAACAAAAACAATTTTCAAATGTTGGAAAATTCATTTAGCTAAAACAATGCAGAAAAATGTTTCTACTTCTAATATGTTACCACAAAATCGTTAGCGAACTCTACGGGTAATCTCTCCCTTTAGTGTAAGTTTCAGTATGTTTATCTGGCGTGAAGCTTACTCAGTATTTCCTCTCATGAATCCCTACGGTATTTCCTCAGTATTCCCTCAGCATTTCCTCTCATAAATCTACTACGGTACTCAAATTTATGTCAATCGTATGCGTATTTATTTTTTACAAGGTCCAGCGAAAAGAGTGCTAGAGAAACTTACTACTAGAATTTCATACGAAAATTAATTAACTTGTTTACCAAAGGTTGGTTAGTTTGTTGTATTTGTTTGTTTGTTTTTAATTTTTCCACATCAGCATGTGAATTTTCTGTTGTTCCTTTTGTGCACCCCGCGGTGACGGACTGGGAGTATGACGTCAGTCGCACTTGACTGTGGCGCGACCGGGTGGAGAATGGCAGAGACGAAGCGAAGGCGTAGCTCGCCGCCAGAGGCCGCAAGAGTCGTCTCGGACACGAAGTGAACCGCTCAGGCGCCTTGTATAAAAGGAGCATTCATGTTACGTGATTTGTATAAAAGGACCATTCATGTTACGTGATTTACTCGTAACCCGACGGTGCAAACATTAGCTGTGGGCACATCCCACAGTCTAAGTATCACGATCGAAATACATCCGACTCCGTTTATAGTGAACAACTTGGGACTAACTGGTTTGGTTCACTATATCAGATGTTCACTATAGCCGATTATGTCAAAATTAAATAGAATTTCCCTGCAATAATTAATGTCATTAATATATGGATACACCAAAATTCAGTAATAGCACGAACTGAAAATTTCAGTGTCCTTAAAAAATAAATTATTTTCAATTGTTTCCTTCATACATGTTTCATTAGTAATTTCCTTTAGATCCTTCTCCGGAATTTCTTTCTCTCTCCATACTTGATTCTGCATTGTCCTCTGTCTCTAAGTATCGAATTATCGTATATGTTAAACTCTTCCTATCTATCTTTTAAAAATATGAAAAAAAATCATGAGTACAAATTTGTCAGTGCTATTAAACAATTGAAACTTAGCCACCGAACACATTCACTTTTAAATAACTCGTTGGTTTCTTAGGTTAAAATATACAATAACTGTCTAACTAATCGTTTAGGTATTAAGATAACTCATATTTGTTGTTGTTGTTTTTAAATTGAGAAGTATTGTCGAAATGAAGTGTTGTACGGCGTTTGCGTTTGGAGTACGGCTAACGTCAATTTGAATCACAATGCTCTCGAGTGGCGTTCGTCTCAAGAAGGGAGGGGTCTTGTAACAGCACATACGTCTTTTTCACCACCACATTTGTTGTCATTATCCAGATTATGTCAAACGGAATCTGTTTTGAAGGCATCTCTCGAATGGCGTACGTTGCATTCACAAACAAAACAGTGTAAATGGATGCGCTATTTAAATACTGTGATCCTTACTTAGGGAAGGCATGAAAGGGTGGTGACCTTTTTTATGTTC